ATGTCTATGGTATTTGCCGCAACTAGGGCATGTGGACAAGGAATCCCAACAGACTGAAACTCCATGCATGAACAACTCCCCTCGACCAGATTTACGAAATAACATTCCCCCTCTGGTGCCTGCACTTGAAACTCATATCCACTTATAGCCCTAACTGCAAAGGCTGTGGATTTCTCATAGTTCTTCTCAACCCGTTTTCGAGCATGTGGGGTAATTACACCCTTGTACCTTGAGGCTTTAGCACGGCATAAGGCAAACCAACATATCACGGCTGTTCGTATGTATTCTAGCATGCATATCAATGGGAACTCCCGTGCCTCCTTAAGGACCGCATTCCACGACTCTGCGATGTTACTATCCATTATGTTGTAACGACGACCTTTGAAATGTGATCTCGTCCAATGCTCAAATCCTATACCATATGTTTGGTTAGTATATAAATTCCACTATACAGTGTATTAAACAGATAGAATACACACCTATGTCTACCAGATATGATGCACATGCAGGGTTGAGTCCCTGAATTTCAATGAATTTTTTGTTGAACTCAGAGATGGTGTATGCACGAGCCGCATCACCCATAATAGTTGCAACTAGCTTTGGCTGGTATGTAGCTCGTACATTACGCCAAAGATGGACCACACAAGCCCCATGCTGTGCAAGCGGGAACACCTGGAGAAGTAATGAGGCGGATTTTATGTTCAGTTTATTTTGTTTGTTACACTATGCGATTATGAAACGTAGTCTAGTAAATTGTAGAAATAGTTAGTCAATGTATATTGGCTGAATGGTACTCACTCTTTGTAAGCTCGGGTAGATGCTTGAATGGCGATCAGATACAAAGGCAAGATCGTTCCCATCAGCGACGAATGTACTTAGCTTCTGAAAAAACCACTCCCATGCGTCTTCATTTTCACTGTCAGCCACCCCAAATGCGAGTGGAAAAATCTGGAAGTTAGCGTCCTATGCTGAAGCAGATATAAGGCACCCCCCAAAGCGTCCCTTCAAGCTGGTACCGTCGATGATAATGACTTTTCGCATGAAAGGCCACCCTTGGATCGAAGCGCCAAATGCAGTGAAGGAATACTTGAACCGTGAGCCTTGCTCCGCAAATTCCACTATCTCAAGGAAACAGAGACTTCCTGCGTTTGAAGATTTTAGTAGAGCAAGATACGCCGGAAGAATGGCATAACTGCCGGCCATTGACCCGTATAGCTGCTCCATTGCCACTTCCCTTGCCCTCCAAGCTTTCCAGTAGGAGACATTGACATGGAAATCATCGAGCAGAATCTTCCTCATGCCAGCTGGTGTAGGTCCCTTTTTGACGCCTACGAACTGTCTTTGCATTATCTCGCCAATCACTTGAGTTGTTGCTAGCTTGTGGTAGTTTCTTCTCGAGTCAACTGTGCAAGTGAGCCAAATTGTGGCCTGTCGAATCTGGAAATTCCCTGACTTATACAATTTCACTGCGTACACGCGCCAAGGGCAATTTTCGTCAATGCATTTCATCACCATGAACGTTGGTGTTGACCTCGTCATCTTGAAGTGGAACTTCCTGTTGATCACGTGGATGGCTAGCTTTATTTTGCAATCGACTTTCGACTTGAAAACCCTACCGGCGAAGATGTTGTCCCCTTCGTAGTGGACGTCCGACAAAGCTGTATTAACACCTGTAGAAATCGCATGTCATAAGTATGGATATACTACGTCTTCATACGCACATAGTATAGTATAGTCCGACTGTGTAAATCATACCATCGTATTCTGCGACATCAAACACAGGTGGAGCATCCCTCGCAAATAATATAGGATTCGTCCCATAGTCAGCCAGTAACGAGTGTAGGGACTCCTCGAACCTTCCCCATGTGTTTAACGACGGTACATCTGCAGTCGCATGTTCATCTTCTCCTGGTTGGTTGTCATTGTTTGAGTCATCATCTGGGGACTCTTCGTCATGCGCTTCGTATTCTAATCTTCTCCTTACAGCCCCTACGGTACGTCCCTCTGAAGAAGTGCATCTGCTAGGCATTCCATTGTCGCTGTCTGAATCGCTTTCATCAGGAAGCGCATGGGCTTTTCCTTTCTCATTCACGGGCGCGGATTTGCCACGAAGTTCCATACTATGCAACCCTTCGTAAATATGTATACCAGTTGCTTTTCGTAGAATAGTACTTTTTGACCTTTTTCTTGCAGCATTATCGCCGGCAGTTCCAGGAGCTGGTAATGTGAGAGGTGTCTCAGATATGGCAAATACATGCCACCCATCGTCACCATCTGAATCGCATTCCCCATCACGACTGTGTCCAGTTGGATCTGTAGTGACTTGGCAATCGCCCTCTCCACCCACAAAGCGAGATGCTGTGACGCATAGATTGACCTCTTCTATCAATCTCCTCATTTCCATAAAAACAACAATGTCGTGGTCATCTGTTATGTATTGAGGCTCTGATCCGTTGCCATCGTCAAGCTCCAACCACTCCGGGTACTGGTAAGATAGTTTTACCGATATGTTTGGCGCTGTGAACTGCAGTTTGTCCTTCACTTCGCTAACCAACTCCGAATGTGTCATGCCTGTCCGTAGTTGTAGATACGCCGTCGCATCAGTGGGTCTAGTTTCGAATGTCTACCTCCGAACAGGATCGCTGACCCATTCCCCTGAAACAACATGGACTGTGTCCTGATCATCCATCTGAAAAAAAAAAACAGAGCCATTGACATGATGTACAGTACCATAGACGAGTATGGTATGCCCAGATCTACAAATTACTCTACTATTCAGTATCACAAATCATTTTATACTTTTCTATCACAATCAATGCATAGTATGTTAGGTGAGAAAGACAGGACAGATTAAATGAACACATGATTATACTTCTGCTGTTATGTTCTCTGTATTTACTACCCAACTGCCTTCGGCTGCGCTCATTCTACAGGTTACAGACATTATCCACTGGATTTTGTAGTAACGGTTCTACTTATATTAAGGATGGGGAAGACTGTTGTCCACACAATTTAGGGTAAGCTAGCATTGAATGCAATTTATTATTGTGTAATGGCTAGGTTAGTGAATCCACAAAATCTTCCACACAAGCGCCAACAGTAGATTGTCTCGTCAGTGAATAGCCTTCAAGCGTTTCCCGCTTAATTGCGATAGGGATAGTATGGTCCTTAAAAATTATCATGGTTAGATTTTGGGTTTTTGATTTCATATGGCTATATTTTTAATACCGAAGCCCAATATGATTATTAAGCTCATTGACTCTATAATTTATACAATTTTGAAACAGAGAGTAAAATATTATTTGAAAAAACGGAGTCAAATCGAATCTACTATTTTCAGATTAAATCTTTAGATGCGGATAAAAATGCCCACTTCTAGAAAAAACTATAAAATCCCCTATATATTAAAAGAGAAGCATTTTTTAAAAAATAACGTTATTTTTGTAAGTATTTACAGTGGTGTCATTATGCTGTTGTGTCAACTCCACATTCATTCTGAGCTAATTTTTAAAAAAAACCTTAGATTACATGATATGCCATTGTGTATTTTAGGTCCATAAATATGTTATGTCTAATTTTTAAATCAGCATTTAATTTATTAAGATATTCTCTTTCTTTTATGTCTTACCAAAAATATATCATATTAATTATTTCTTTAATTACATTTCTACCAAAAATCTTTTTTATCTTATTTTCATTTAAACTTATACATCATTCATATAATAAAAATATATATAGATTTTTTATACATGTATTATAATTTGAATTTTAAAAATTGAATATAAATTACTCAGATTATTAATAAATAAACATAAATTATTATAATTTGAGTTCATTATAATCATTATAAAAGTTGATTGTAATTTGAGTTCATTATAATCATTATAAATAAAAGTAAATAATTATAATTCGATTTAATTGATTTTTTCTAAAAGTAAATTTTCAATTAGCTCATAATTTAGACTGTTTCCAAAATTTAGTATACAATAAATAATACTTAATATTTAATATAATATAATTATGAGGTAATTGATAATTTATTAATAATTTTAATGGAAATAAATTTTATTGTGTTTGATATATGTTAATAATATGATTAATTTAATTTATCGCATTCACTAATCTAATTTAGATATAAGTAATATATTAATTCAAATTTATTTTGTTAATTTAGATATATATATTTAAAATTTTTGAGTATAAAGGATAGTGACACTTTTGTCTGATAAGTCATCAATATTTAAAACTTATTTAGAGTAAAAATATATATAAAATGGATAAACATCAATATTTTTATAGAAGCTAATTATAAAAATAATTATTTGTCATATTACTTTTATATAATCAATCATAGCAAGAACGCATCAAAACTCTAACCATATTACATCTTAAATTTTATCATGTATACATTATACTCCTAACTTACTATTTATCATATATCCAATTATGTTTTATTATTATATTTTAGATAATATTTTTTAATTAAAAGTTTTTAAAGTCAATAATTATTCTTTTCTTGTACAAAGAGATAATTTATAGATATAATTTTTGTTTTTCAAATTAAAAATATAAAATTTGTGTCTTTTTATAATTCATTTGATATAGTAGATAAGTAACAAATTATTTAAATAATAATATTTAATTATTATTTAAGAGTCAAAAAATAATTAACTATATACATAAATATTATATATCTAAATCTTATAGAAAATCTATATGGCAATTTTGTATTTCTATCCAGCTATATCATTTGCTATGCATGATATTTTATTTTTAAATTAATTTATATGATAATTAAATTACTTTATATGTTATAAAAGATATACTGTCAATGTTATAATATAATATTATATGAAATTCATATAAATATAATTATATTTTATTATATTATATGATTTTAAAATTATATTAAATTTAAATAAATAATAATTATTTTATTTTGCATAAGATGCAGGTTATTACCTAGTATTTTATGAAAAGAGAGTATCATATAGCTTATTAAATTCTTTTTTGGGTATCTGGAAAAGTTGCAATGTTCTCTGGTTTTCCCATAGTTTCATTTGGGTCGTATAATAAACTTTTTCAAAGTGGAACGCTCTTTCAATTTGCGTTGAGCATCAAAATCCTCACCATCCACTCTCCTACCGCACTTCTCCATCTGTCATCATCGTTACAGAGCTCTTTTTCTTCTCCTTCGGAATCACAAAGTTTTTGGCCCTCCAATGGCGTTGTCTCTCTCCGTCACGCCTACTTCTTCTTCTTCTTCTTCTTCGTCTTACGTCCTCTCTCGAAACCCTACACCTACTCCTAATTCCAGAACCACCCATCTGAATTTCGCTTCCCAGAGGAGAATTCACGCCATTAATCCTCTTCAATCATACTCACAACACCTAAATGCATCTCTATTCTCAATCTCAGCTATTACCTCTTCTTCTTCCTCACAAACAACAGAATTCGTGCCTCTAAAGCTCGAGAGATTAGTCAAAGAATTCAAATCCTTGACAGAGCCAATTGATCGGCTCAAATGGGTTCTCCGTCACGCGAATCTCATCCCTCCGATGCCCGAATCATCCCGAACCGAATCGAACCGGGTCATGGGCTGCACGGCTCGTGTCTGGCTAGACGCTGAGCTAGGTCAAGACGGGAAGATGCGGTTTTGGGCAGATAGTGATTCAGATGTGTCGAAAGGTATGTGTTCGTGTCTGATTCAATTGCTTGATGCTTCGACGCCTGAAGATGTGATGGAATTGAAGATTGAGGATTTGGCTGAGCTTAACGTTGTTGGATTGTTGGGTGGTGAGAGATCGAGAGTGAACACTTGGCACAATGTTCTTGTGAGTATGCAGAAGAAGACACGACGGCTTGTGGCGGAGAAGGAAGGAAAAGCTCCTTCCTTTGAGCCGTTTCCTTCATTGGTGTTGACTTCTGATAGCATTGAGGCTAAAGGAAGCTTTGCTGAAGCTCAGGTTAGAATCTTCTTTGTTCAAATTCTCAATTCTTTGAAATTTGCCTATGTGTTGTGATAAAGATCTTTTTTTAATTATATCATAAGTATTTAGAGTATGAGGGTGAACAAATGAGAATCTACTTTGCTTATTTTTCAATTCTTTAAGATTTGGTTTTGTATTGTGGTAAACTTCTTTTTTTTTTATATAATTGTATAATAAGTATTTAGAGTATGAAGATGAACAAATGAGCTTTCTTTGCCACTCTAGTTTTGTCTTCATAAAGCAGAAAGTGAAGGCAGTCTCACTCTTTTGAATTAGCTAAATCGATTTTATATTTGGTTTTGCAACATTGTGTGGATGTTACAATGGTTTGATCCAATCATGTTGGTTCTTGCAAGATCGGGTTGTGTCTGTTGTAACTAGTAAGGATATTTGTTTGATTGTTTTGTAATTATTTAGAGTTGGAGGAATGAACAAATGAGCTTTCTTGGTCAATTGTCACTGTAATTTTAGTCTTTAGAAGAGCGGAAAGTGAAGGGAATCCCCCTCTTTTGGATTAGCTAAATTGGTTTTATATTTGAGAGGAAAAGTTGAGGTTTGCAACATTGTGTAGATGTTACAATGGTTTGATGCAATCATTAGTCATTACCTTGCGGGAATATTGGTTGGTTCTCGCAAGATTGGTTTGATTTAGTTGAGTACCGTTATGGATGTTGTGCTCCATAGTTTGTGGCAATGTTAAGATTTGTTCTTTGGTTCAATCGCAGGCCAAATATTTGTTTCCGGAGGAGTCACGGGTTCAAGAACTAGTCAAGGTTCTGAAGGAAAAGAAGATAGGAGTGTCTGCTCATTTCTACATGGATCCAGAAGTGCAAGGAGTCTTAACGGCAGCTCAGAAGCATTGGCCACATATCTATATATCTGATTCTCTAATCATGGCAGATGCAGCTGTCAAGATGGCTAAAGCTGGATGTCAATTCATAACGGTTCTTGGTGTCGATTTCATGTCCGAAAACGTCCGTGCCATTCTAGACCAAGCTGGATTTGGAGAGGTTAGAGATGTTCTTTCTTTAATCTCTTGTTTTGTGATAATGCTTGTCTTATATACTTCTATGGTTTGTAGGTTGGTGTATACAGAATGTCAGATGAAACCATTGGTTGTTCTCTAGCTGATGCTGCTTCTGCTCCTGCTTACTTGAACTATCTCGAAGCTGCTTCTCTTACGCCGCCTTCTATGCATGTTGTTTATATCAATACATCTCTGGAGACGAAAGCTTTTGCTCATGAGCTTGTACCTACCATTACTTGCACTTCATCTAATGTTGTACAGACGATTCTGCAGGTTTGTTTCTTGCTTTCTTGTTTCAACCTTTTACTTCATCGTGATGCTCTAAACTTTTGTTCTTGTTTCTATCAACAGGCGTTTGCTCAAATGCCGGATTTAAATGTTTGGTATGGTCCTGATTCTTACATGGGAGCGAATATTGTAAAGCTATTCCAGCAGATGACGTTGATGACGGATGAAGAAATCGCCGATGTTCATCCTAAACACAACCTAGATTCCATTAAATCATTGCTTCCCCGTCTTCACTATTTCCAGGTAACTTCGCCTTTTGTTGTTCGTGATAGTATGTGTTCAATCCGGATTAACCGAATCGATCCAATCCGAACCATACCAAAATAACTGATCAAATCGAACCATTTCTTAGTACGGTTTAAATGGATTCACTTATGTATGTATTATAACTGAAAAACCAAAACCGAAGCAAAAAAAGAAAGCCGATTTAAACAGATTTTTCTTTGAAAATGAAGGAGATATTTTAACAAAAGCCAAATCCGGACTAAACCATGGGGTGGGCATTCGGTTCGGTTTTTTCCGGTTCTGGAAAATAGGTTCCATTCGGGATTAAATTATAGTTTGGGTTTACCAAAACCAAAACATACCGAAACAAAAAAAAAAAAAAAACTGAAAAAATTAAGCTGCTGAACGGCGGAATGCAGAATAGTGGAATAATTAATATGATTGGATAAATTATGTGGAATGGCGGAATAGTAGAATTACAGAAAATATATAAAGTTAAATTTTCATAATAATATATCTTATATATAATTTAATATAATAAAAATTAAAATATTTATTATTATAAAAACATAATTTTAATATAATTAAAAAAATTAAAATTTTTATTGTAATTATTTATTTTTATTTTTGTTTTTTATTTACTATAAAATATATAATTATATTGCAATATTTAATCTATAGATATAATCTGATTATGTAGTATAAATATATTTATTTAAATAATAAAATATAATTAGTTATATAATTGAATGATATAAAATATTAATTCCGCAAATAAGCTACCTGAAACACACTTTTCCATTTAATCAAATTTTTTTTGTATTTTTTGTAAATATTTCTGCCATTCCGCAGAATTCGAGTTTTGACGTTTTTCCGCAAATTTTTCTGATTGACAAAATTTTTACAAAATTGTATTTTTCCACCATTCCATCATTCCACAAAAATTACCAATCATAGGCTGTGAAAATGAAGGAGATTTTAACAGAAGCCAAATCCGGACTAAACCATGGGGTGGGCATTCGGTTCGGTTTGGGTTATTCAGGTTTGGATTTTTCCGGTTCTAGAAAATAGGTTCCATTCGGGATTAAATTATAGTTTGGGTTTGGGGTTTCCGGATTCTAGAAAATAAATACCATTCAGAGGATCAAATTATATTTTAGTTGTTTGGTTCGGTTTTAAAAAAAGTTATAATAATAAATGAAGAATTTTTTACTGTGGTTCGGCTTTACACAAAAATTTAAATAAACCCGAATAGGGGTGTTCAATCCAGGTTTGGTTTCGGATCGGTTTTTAATGGTTTTTGGTTTATAAAATTTATATAAGATAAAACCGAATATATACGGCGCTAACTGACAAAAGAAGGTTTGTTTATATGATTGTGTGTTTTCAGGAAGGAACGTGTATTGTACATCATCTTTTCGGTCACGAGGTAGTGGAAAGAATAAAGTACATGTACTGTGACGCCTTTCTTACCGCGCACCTGGAGGTTCCGGGTGAAATGTTTTCACTAGCAATGGAAGCAAAGAAAAGAGACATGGGTGTTGTTGGATCCACACAAAACATACTTGACTTCATCAAGCAGAAGGTTCACGAAGCAGTTGACCGAGATGTCGAAGACCATCTCCAGTTTGTTCTAGGAACAGAGTCGGGAATGGTAACATCTATTGTCGCGGTGATCAGGAGTTTGCTAGGTTCTTCTGCTAACTCGAAAGTGAAGGTCGAAGTAGTGTTTCCTGTATCGTCTGACTCAATGTCGAAAACTTCTTCTTCGGAGGGTTCAAACTCCATTAAAGTTGGTGATTTGGCGTTATCGGTTGTACCGGGAGTAGCAGGAGGTGAAGGCTGCTCTATTCATGGCGGATGCGCTTCATGTCCTTATATGAAGGTCAGTTCTTCTTGCTTTGTAATTATCGTTCTTCATTGGATAGTGATAGCTAGCCAAGCCGGTTTGATTAGTTCGGGAATTTCGGTTTGGGTAAGTTCGAGAAAATTCTATCGAAAATAAATGAAATAAACTATCATTCGGTTCGGGTTGGTTATCGAATAGTTGAGGTATTAATTTTTTTATCGGAATTAACGGTAATTTTGGGGTATTTAGTTCAAATTTGGTTAAGTCAAGTAAACCGGGTAAAGTCGGTTAGGTAGGCTAGTAAGGTTTTTCGATTCGAAATATTTAATATATATTTTAGTTAAATTTGGAGTAATTTTGTGTAAATCATTATGGTTCAATATATCTTTGTCTGGATTTTTTTTAAAAAAAATATATACGGTTAACCGATCGGTTTGGTCAAACCGAACTGAACCAAACTGATAACCGAATTAATTTTAAACTGCTGCATATCGGTTTAACTTAAGTTCCAAAACAAAACCAAATCTAAAATCTTGGTTCGGTTTGGTTGTTTCGGCTTGGAAACTTCGGTTCATATCTAAACACATATCTATGCTCCATCAAATGTAAAGCGTGTGATGTTTGATGCAGATGAATTCGCTTAACTCCCTCTTGAAAGTTTGCCACAATCTACCTGATTTGCAAAACGTAATCGGCGGATTCAAAGCAGAGCGATTCAAACGACAAACTCCTCAAGGAAAACTCATTGCGGACGTTGGGTGTGAGCCAATACTTCACATGAGACACTTCCAAGTAAAGCAAAAAACTTTCATCTCTATAAAAGTTTGTGTTAATGCCATTGAAATCTTTAACCAAATTTGCTTTTGCAGGCGAACAAGGAGTTGCCGGAGGAGCTTGTTCATCATGTCTTAAGTCGCGAGAGCAAGAGATGACCAAGTTGTCCCCTTAAAGCTATATGAAGGATTTGGTAAGTTTTAGTTATCAACAAATTATAGGTTTTACGTTTGGTGGAACATGAAGATTAAAGCTCCTCTTGCGATAATGATTCATATGATCACGAGGATTACATTACATTGTATACAATAATCTAAACAAAAGCAGAAGAAGCATTTGGATATATTAGAGATGCTTAGGAGCAAGTTATTGATGTATTATTAATGGTTTCATTGCAATGTTTCTAACAAACTTGAAACTTTTTCATCATCATGAAATTGAAAACTTTTAGACATTAACTTGAGCTAGCTTTACATAAAAACGTAAATATTGTGATGATTGCATGGTGTTTTGAATCTTTATATTTCTTATAATTTACATCATACAATCATAACCTTACACCTACTAATTAAACATTCTTAAATTATAGACAAAGTAGGTATTTATCCGTATTATGCGATGAAATATTTTTAAAATAATTTGTATATATTTTTATTATAATAAAATTATTTTTATAGTATAAATGAGAATTATATTTTTTATACTTTAAGTTATATATTTATAAGTTTTTAATTTGAGTAAACATTGTATATCTTTAGTTTTTTTTTTAAAAAAATTATAAATTGACATCAAATTTGCTTACTTAATTAACTATAAATATATATATTAGCGTTCACCATAATTATACAAGCAAAAAAAAAATGATATCGATAAAACTACAATATAAAAAATTAGTTAATTAATTTAAAAAACTACATTGTACTAAATATAAATAATTAGTTAGTTAATGCCCTATATAGCAAAAGTTGTACAATATAAAAACTACATTGTACAATATAAAAACTACATTGTAGTTTAATGTAGTTAATGCCCTATATAGCAAAAAATAGTTAGTTAATGCCCCATTGTACTAAACTTATCGATTTTTGGTCCAATATTTTTTATATTGTAGTTTTATTTGATAATAGTATTATATAGCAAAAATTATATTTATTTGAGTAAACATTGTATATCAAATAAAACTACAATATAAAAAATATTGTACCAATATCGATAAGTTTTTAATGCCCTACTATGTGTTATTTCTATGAATATCTCATAGAATTTAATCTTAACTTATAGCAGTTGTTTTATCATGTATTTAAATTGTCTTAAGCGAAACAGTGGTAATTTCTTTCTATGAATGGGTACATATAGCAAAATTGATTGTAAGATATAAGGAAGATATATTATAACAAAAAGATGTAAAGAAGAGATATCTTAAATTTGGCCAACAGATCATTTCTTGATATAGCATCTGGTGAATGAAGATCTTTAGGGATTTTTCCTTTATTTACGTGTGAGAATTAAACAATACAATTTTAAGTACTTTCATAATGTAATCTAGTTTCTCTACTGAATTGTCACTTGATCATCCCTTGTAATTACTTAAAGCAAAATGCCACTTTAAAAAAAAATTATTAATTGATATGATTATTTTAAATTATAGAATTTAATTATTTATCAAACATTTATTATAAACATATGTTTTTTAAACCATTAAATTATTTGAACTAAGTAGAAAATTTTGTTGGAACATAACAGTTGAAATATCAATTTAGTTCAAGTTAAATAATTAAATTTTAATTATTATAAAGATATGGTAACTTGGACACTCTATAATGAAATCATTGGTTTCTAGTACTGATATATATATCCTTATTAATAAAACAATTATAACTAGAATCTGTGTTCTTAAACTACATTTTATTAATTTATTCTAAAAAAATAATTATTAAAAATTATTAATAAAATTATTTAAAATCTTACTCTAACTAAATACAAATACACGTACCTATAGAGGTCTTTCAAACTCCAATTATATTTTTTCATTATAGATTATTAGCGTTTGCTTAATCAAACGCTTTTTCTCACCGATGGAACACTTTTACAATTTTTATTCTAAACTAGATTTTGGATCCGCATATTTGCGCGGGTTTCTTTTTATAAAATATTTTTGGACCATAGTAAAAATCGGTTTATATTAAATTTTTGTTCAAAAAAAATTAACTCGCAAGCAAAAATGCGACTGCACGGATATTTTACAGGGGGTGTGTGTTCGTCCAGGTAGCGGAGCTGAGTCTCCGAGTTTTGTCCTCTGAGGTGGATGAGCGGCATACGGTTCCTGTGCCAGAAGTCTGACTGGGCCCTGCGTACACTAGAAACAAGTAAGTCGGGCCTTCGCGAGAACCGGAAAAGGGTTTTCTTTCCAAAGATTCTCCGACCCTCAAGTTAGATTATGCCCTACTGGGAACATGTACTTGAAGCAAGGGTTTTTGAGCCCTTGTTGTTTCTTCAAAGTTATCATAATCCCCAAATCAGATGTAGTATAGGGTCTTAGGTGTCAAACACACTTGTGAATGATGAGATACAAACAATGTTGTAAGTGAGATTGGGGATTTTGTTTGTAAAAGAATGATTTTAACAACCTAACAATGCAATGGAAAGAAAGGAGAAACCAAATGCAAGTAAACAAGAACTAAGCAATGAACTAAAAGCAAGAACTAAGCACCGCTCAATCGCATTTTATAAAAATTTCTGTTCAAAAGATTTATTATTGTATAGAAAATACGATAACTCAAGACACTCTAAACTCCACCACTAAAAACCTTATCATACCTAACGTCGTTAAGACCTGCCTAATTCCTTTGGCGAGGTCTGATGTTTAGGTTTTGAATCTTTTTGATCAATCCTCAAACACGCATGTCATTGTAGTACTTGAGGTGTCAATCCAATTGGGAAGTTAATGACACTTGAGATATAGAGAACTGTGCTAAGCTAAGTTAATAGGAGAAGAGTTTTGATTCTAACAACCTAAGTGATCAAGCAAAGAAGCAAAATAAAGCAAACAAAGAGCAATAAAAGCAATAGAAACAGAGCAAAAACAAAGTAAAAGCTAGACTTCAAAGATTAAAAGATGGTTCAAGATCAATGCAATGGTGATAGGGTGATTCATGTTCATGCCTAGGGTGATAAAAAAGCAATCTAATAAAGACTAATCCAATCTCTTGGCATTAATCCCTTTGCTAAATCACATTTCAAACCCACTTTTGGTGGTGTATCTATGATAAGCAAGCATTAAAATCAAGTTCCATAAAACCAATTAGCATGCTAGACATCTAATCTCTTAGGCTAGGTTTACTAATCTCTTATATGATAGATTAAACATCAACTCACATTCTCATGCATAATCAACATTTAAAGACAATTTCCCACCAATGTGGTACTAAGCAATAATCACATTCAAGCAAGAAATGATAGATGCAAAGACTCATGACTATCTAAACACCATTTTCAAGCATTGAACTTCCTTCAGGCATTTCACTAAACACCTAGCGTGCATGTGAAAACCTAAGATCAACTTCTCCAACAAAGAGGTGCTAAGCACTAAGAACAATCATATAAGAAAGGGAAGGAGAAGATCTAAGCCCCAATCACCCTAAACAATCACTAAAATCATCCCATCTGCCCTAATCTCAAACCTAAAGCAAACTACTCACTAATCATGGTGAAAACCATCATATCTATGAAGAAAAGATAGTTAATCATGATTAGGAAGACAAAAGATTAAGGAAAATGCAAACTTATATTAAAATAAACAAAGATTCAAATACAAAACTATTCAGAATCTAGAAGAGAAAAGAAGAACTGCTGGATAAAGAAGTTGTTCCCAGAAATTAGAGATTTTCGTATATAAAGGAGTCTAAGCAAAAATGGCAAAGTTGTAAATAAATGGTCTTCAGTCTGGGTCAGTATCAATCTGGTTTGATCGATAGGGGTGATCGATGGTGAATTCGCTTGAATCTCATCGATCACATCTGATCGATGCACTTGGTCGATGGAGCCCTATCGATCACATTTGAGAGCCTTTGGTCGATGGTGCATTCGCTTGAATCTCATCGATCACGTCTGATCGATGGCCTTGATCAATGGGCTTCTGCTCCTTTGCATCGACCAAAACTGATCGATAGACTCCAGGTCTTGATCGATGGACCTCCAGAAAATGCTTCCTTTTGCTCCCTTTGTCCCTTCTCAGCTTGGCCAGCTTCTTGGATCACTCCCACACTTCCTCCTTCATCCATTAAGCTCCTTAAGCACCTAAAAACATCCTTGATGCAAAGAATATGCAAACTATAACCTAAATGCAACCTAAGTCTAAAAGGAGAAGAAAAAGGGACTAAAGAGAAAGAAAACATGCAAAAGAAGCTGATAGTACACTCTCTTCTTGTCTTCGTCATCAATGAAGAGGTAGGCATAGAACCCTTCTGCTGGCGTGCGTCCCAAGCTATCAGTATTCCTCATGTATGCTTCATCCATGAAAGCTCTGTTTGGGAGTTGAGCAAAGTCATGAATGGGCACACCGGCTTGCACGAACAGAGGAGTGAGGAAACCGCCAATGTAAGAGGAGGTTGCCTTGCACCGCAAGGCATAGGCCTTGTATTTCACCAAAGAAGCCGCGAGCACACAGCCGTAGTTCACTTCATCGCCGAGTTCATCCTCCATAGGCTCGTCGTTTGCATCCGGATCACACACCAAGTGCTTCACGCCTTGGAACAGGAAGCACAGCTCTGTCTTCGTGACCGTAGGGGCAACAGACCTTCCACTGAACGTGTTGGCAATCAGCTTCAGAGTATACCTCAGCACTGGGCTCCTTACTCGCTTGATCTTAGCGGTGTTGGCCTTGTAGTCTTCATTGCTTATCAGATCCCAAAACTCGTCGGCTTTCTTGAAGGCTGGAAACTCGACCTTGTATGCATCAGCGTTGAGACCGTGGGCTTGGCATAGCTCAGGGATGGAGAGTGTATAGGCTTGACGTCCAACTTTGAAGTAGAGGCGGCCTTGGGAAGGGACGGGTGCACTAGGATTCTCATACCGGAACTCCAAGGTGGCAAGGAAGTCTATTGTCACTTCAGGAATGGTTGGGCAATCCATCCGTGACAGACATCTTAAGCCAATGTTCTTGAGGAGTTGGTCGAAGTCCCCAAGAATCCCGAGCCTAGACAAAAGCTCTCGATCAGCAAACTTGGTAGGCTCAAACCGGAGCCTCTCTAGCCGCTTCTTATCCCTCTTCTCATCCTTACTCCACCGGACCCTCTCTTGAACTACCACTTCTTGTCCTTCTCCTTCTTGTGCTTGCTCTTCTCTAGTTCTCTTTGGTGCCATGGTTCCTGAAACAAGATTCTAAAGAGATTGATAAGCAAGCGGCGATTTGATGAGAATGAGAGAAGAGAAGGAGAGAATTTATAAAAAGCTACCCTAGAATTT